CAAAGGATGAGTGAACATATGCTTCTCCATATGCCCCACACAGACTCTTCAGTGCATTTATTACTCAGAGCTTGGTGACTGAAGAATGTTTGTACTGTTTTATTTTTCCTCAAAGTGATTCATTCTACTGTACATTTCAAAATCTGTGGCAAGTTGGAAGATTCTAGAACTAAGGTGTATTTCAGTGAACATCTCATCTGTTAAATGAAGGATTTTATCATTAACCAGGTACTCAGATAAAGTAAAAATGAAATGACATTCTGTTATTTTATTATGCAAGTGACGAACTGAGTTAAAAACACAAATTCTCTCCAATCAGTTTTCTACACTGCACCCATATCAGGAAACTCCCCCATTTTAAACTCAGCAGATAGAGAACCCCACCATGAAACCAGGCTCCCCCATGATCTTGCTCCTGTCATCTTCCAACTGTCTGTCAGAAAACTCACTATATATTCTAGCAGAACTTTCCTTCCGCTGTGTTGCTAACTCAAGTGTAATGTGTAGATGGGAAAGGCTAGCCAACCAAGGACACTTGTAGCAACTGCCACCAGCTGCTTTTCCTCTGTCGTGCCTTGCAGAGCTTCTTAGGAACCCAGCACAAAGGTTCAGGAAGTAGTGATGGCCTTGGTGTCTTTTAGAACCAGGTTCAAAACTTCAAAGAGCTAGCACAGTAAATGGAAAGTAACTCCGAATTCCAGACATGCTCAAAAGCCATGGCTTTGACTACTCTGACTGAGAATGAACTTTCTTCTTCTCCTCCTCCTTCTCCTCCTCCTTCTTCATTAGCCACCCATGTCAGAAATCCCCCTACTTGGCATTGCCCAAATGTCCAAGGAGTTACTCTTGCTTCCAGTTATCAAGGCTTCACAAAGGAAGCCTAAATTGGTCCAAAGTTTAAGTACAGACTGAAGAATTTTGTACATCAGGAAGTTGTGAAATGTTTCAGATGCCATGCCAAGGAAGAGATGATTTGAAATTTCTTTATTTCTATCTTTGGTACTTCTCTTTTTCTTCTCTCTTACTCTAAATGCAAAGTTCTTTTCTTTTCTCTTCGTTCTTTGCCTATCCATGTACATGCTAACAAATCAAGTCAGTCGATCAGCAACGTCTGCATTATGCAGTAGCAGAAACTTTGGGTAATATAAAACAAGTATCCTCAAGACACTTGAGTCTAGATGGAGAGATTAAATTTTAGTTTATGAAATAATAACTGCTGAAATATGTAAGCTTGTCGTAAATTATTTAATTCAGAGGCCACTCTGAAAAGAAACATTTAGTCAAGAATTTTCAGAGAAAGTGAAATTTTTGCTACAAGTTAAAGGGTGGTGTCTTAGGGTTACTGTTGCTGTAATGAAACACCACAACCAAAAGCAAGTTGAGAAAAAAGCAAAGAGTTTATTTGGCTTATGCTTCCGGTTCATCATCCAAGGAAGTTAGGACAAGAACTCAAATGGGGTAGGACCCTGGAGGTGGGAGCTGATGCAGAGGCCCTGGAGGAGTGCTGCTTACTGGCTTGATTCCCATGACTTGCTCAGCTTACTTTCTTAGAACCCAGAACCACCAGCCCAGGGTTGTGACACCACCAACAATGGGCTGGGCCCTCCCTCCCACAACAATCACTAAGAAAATGCCCTGTGATTGCCTACAGCTAGATTTTAGGCAAGCAGTTTCTCAATTGAATTCCCTTCTTTCAGATCATTCAGTGTGTATGGAATTGACTAAAACTAGCCAGGGCAGATGGGTAAGATTAAGGTAAACAGAGTCATACAAAGCTCCATGGATAAATGGTGTCTTAGTCAATGCAGGATGCTGTGACAGATACTGGGGCGAAAGTCTGACATGAGGGGACCACGGTTAGGTTCTGGTGAAGGCCTTCATTCAGGTTGCTAACAGGAAAAGTCTTGTACCCTCATGGCCAAAGTAGGGCAAGATAGTTCTCTGACCTCTTCATCTAAGAGCTCTAGTTCCATTCATGACATCTCTACTTCCTGACCCAACTTTCCCCTGCAAGGACCCCATCTTCAGATGATACCACATTGTATGTAATTAAAGTATAAACATTTGAATTTTGGAGCAACACAAACATTTAGTCCATTGTTGGCAGCAAGTCAAAGCCAATGTTGGATGGGTAAAAAGACCTCGAGGACTGAAAGGTGATATAAATCTTTTCTTGTTTCTATTACTGTGTTTAAGAAAGCACTGCCTGTAACAGCCTTAACACGCAGCAGAATTTCTTTTTTTTTCTTCATCCTTCTGTATTAAGAAATTTTCTACTCACTCCATGTGCTATCCACAGATCCCCTCCACCTTCCTTCCACTCCCCAGCCCTCTTTCCCAAGCCACCCCACATCCCCACATCCCCCAAATCAAGGTCTCCCATGGGGAGTCAACAGAGCCCAGCACACTGTGCCTAGGCAGGTCCAAGCCCCTTCCCACTGCACCAAGGCTGTGCAAGGTGTCACACCATAGGCACCGGGTTCCAGAAGCCTGCCCATAGACCAGGGACAGATCCCAAACCCCCTGCCTGGGTACTCCCCAAATAGTTCGAGTCAAACAACCATCTTCCGTGTCCAGAGGGCCTAGTCCAGTCCCATGGGGGCTCCACAGCCACCAGTTCACAGTTCATGGGCTTCCACTAGTGTGGCCGGTCATCTCTGCATGTCCTCCTATCATGATCTCAACATGCCCTGCCTGCAGTATCTCTCCTCTCTCTCATCAATTGGATTCCTGGAGCTCAGCCTGGTGCCTGGCCATGGATCTCTGTATCTGCCTCCATCATTCACTGGACAAAGACTCTATGATAACAGCTAGGTTATTTGCTAGGCTGGTCACTAGAGTAGACCAGTCCAGGCACCCTCTGGACCCTGCCAGCAGACCAAGGTGGGGTCAACCTTGTGGATTCCTGAGAGCCTCCCCAGCACTTTGCCTCTTCCTATTCCCATGATGTCCTCATCTATCATGGTATCTTCCACCCTGCCCTCCCACTCTATCCCTGTTCCAGCTTGACCCTCCCATTTCCCTATGTTCTCATCCTCCACTCCTTGCCCTCTGCCACCCCCACTACACACAGTCCACTCATGTAGATCTCGTCCACTTCTCCTTCACAGGGTCATCCATGTGTCCCTCCTAGGGTCTTTTCCTGTTAGCTAGCCTCTCTGGAGTTGTGGGTTGCAGTCTGGTCATCCCTTCTCTCCCATTTATTATCCACTTATGAGTGAGTACATACTATGTTTGTCCTTCTGAGTCTGGGTTACCTCACTCAAGATGATATTTTCTAGATCCATCCATTTGCCTGGAAATTTCATGATATCATTGTTTTTTACTGCTGAGTAGCACTCCATTGTGTATATGTGCCATATTTTCTTTATCCATTCTTCAGTTGAGGGGTATCTAGGTTGTTTCTAGGTTCTTGCTATTATGAATAATGCTGATATGAACATAGTTGAGCATGTGTCCTTGTGGTAAGATTGAGCATTCCTTGGGTATATGCCCAAGAGTGGTATAACTGGGTCTTGAGGAAGACTTATTCCCAACTTCTGAGAAACCGCCATACTGATTTCCAGAGTGGTTGTACAAGTTTGCATTCCTACCAACAGTGGAGGATTGTTTCCCTTGCTCCACATCCTCTCCAACATAAGCTGTCTTCAGTGTTTTTGATCTTAGCCATTCTGACAGGTGTAAGATGGTATCTCAGAGTTGTTTTGATTGCAGCAGAATTTCTTAATGCACAGGTTTCTGTAACCTACTCCTGCAATTTCTAATGAGAGGGAGCTCACAATTTAAGCCAGATGTGATGGTTCATACCTATAATCCCATAGTTTAGGGTTCCAAAGCAGAAAGACTGGGCTATACTGTAAGTTGAGTTCCGGGCCAGCCTAGGCTTGAGAGTGAGAAACGCAGAAGAATTTGCATGTTTGCATTTGAGCATATTCTCTCATGCTGCTGCTTCATATATGAGAACCAAGGTTTGAAAAACCAGAGATCAAGAGTCTCGATGTGCTGGTATCGAGTGCCCAACCACTTAGGGAGCCATTGCTAATGACGGTGCAGCAGACTGCTGTAATTCCCCTCTCAGGTTCCCACTTCCACAGCCACCCAAATCACACCATTCATTCCCTGTGTGACTTATTTCCACAGTCCCTGTAGCCAGCACCACAGGGTAGGTCTGTTTCTTCTGTTTGCTGTTATTGTAAGTTCGTCTCCCTTGTTATGACTTTTATACGACTCAAACTGGGGGATTTTTGAAGGAAACGTTGAATAATGCTGTGGATAATTCCTGCTTTCTGATGCCCTGCTGCTACACAGGAAATGAAAGTAGTCCTCTGGGGAAGCTGCTTTTCAGCTCAAAACTGATGACAGTTTAGAAAGCAGAAACCTGTTTGTCTTGGAATTATTTCTCTCTGATGACACTACTTAAGTAGGTCACAGGGTGAGTGGTAGCATTAATTCTGATAATTGCATGTTGATTTAAGGATTTTCTTATTAAATAATTAGATTGTGGCTGACCCTTCATAATTCCTTAAGTTTTAGCAGCAATTTCAGTACATAGCAATGTTCAAAGTATTCCAAAGCCCACTGGAACATCTTTCCCCAGTAAGAAAAGAAGCAAATAGTATGTAGTAGTCAGTTGTTACGCCTTCAGTGAATGAACAGTGGTGACATTCAAAACAACGCATAAGTGGTTTTTCTTATGAAAAAGAAAAAAAGAAGGAAGAAAAGAAAGAAAAAGAAAACTAGGTTCTATAAAATAGAGGCATGGTTATTTTGTATCAGTTTTAGGTTTGGCAGGCTACCAAGTGTTAATTTGCTTTTAGCTAGTTGAGAGTACATGTAATTCCTTCCCTGAGCAACCCTAAAGTAAGCAAGCATGAAAGCATTTTCAGAGTAATCTGGGAGGAATTGACATTTCAAGGAGTTGGCATTACATCTGGACTTGAAGGCTATTAATTTCATAGACAGATTAACTTCATTACTCTGCCTTATCTTGCATTTGAAAGGCCTCCATCAGCTAGAGAACTGAACGCCCAGGGTCAGTTGAAACTACTCTTATCCCAGCCATGCTGTAAGTGGAACCTGCTTCTGGAGACTCTGCTACACAGTGGTGGCCTCATACCAAGAATCCTGCTGAGAAGCTCAAGTGAGTATTTGCAGTTTCAAGAATGTCCTAAGCACAAGACAAAACAAACAAACAAAAACAAGCCAAACAACATCAAAAAAAAAAAAAAAAAAAAAAAAAAAAACCAAACCCAGTCATTGCCAGGGACGAATGGAACTTTTTCCTACTTGAATATTGCGTGAAGGGTGGAAACTGAACACAGGCTGGGAGTGCTGGGCAGTCACTGCAGAGGAGCTACTGACCTGCTTAACCAACCCGATTATCTTTCTAAGCAGTATCAACATCCAGGCTTTGAAATGCCTAAGACAACTGGAAGGAGGCAGTTACATTTCCAAAGCACAAACCTGAATTAGATAATAAATAAGTAGAAATTATATTGGATCAGCACTTGAAATTTTAGTCTGTCTTGAAGAGTACTTCAGCAGCTGTGGGTTACAGTCATTTCCACTTCGGACAGAGAAGTAAACATCAAGAGAATTATGGCTGAAAACTGAGAAGTAAGAAGCCATAATCCTCTTAATTAAAATGTCTTCCCTGCCAATACTGTTTAGGAAATGGCGAGGAATGCTGTGAGAATGTCCTCCCGTGTCCCACCACTCACCTATAGAGAGTTTTCACCATTTCACAGGTTGTGTGGATTCCTCTTTATGTCACACATGAATCCAAATTAGTCAGCTTCCTAATTCAAACTCATTTTTGTCTAGCTTCCATATGCAGGATCACATCCAGATCCTTCTGCCACTCAAACTAGATGAATTTTCTGACCTTTTGATTTACAACCCTCCCCCGCCCCAAGTATTCCCTTACATGTACCACAAACCTACCTAACCCTTTCCAGTTGGGGCCCAAAGCCCCATATGTGTGTTCCCTCTATACCTTGGCTCTCTGTTTTCTTATCTAGAGACCCCCAAGCCACTCTGCTTCTACCAGTATGCAGGAGCCTGGAGTGTTCCAGATGCTTGAACATTCCTCATCCTGGCTTCTTGTTTCTCTGAACTCCAGTGTTCTCTATCTGGCTTACCATGTTACTTTTATGTGTGAATGAGGAAAATGTCCATGCATACTACTAGCCTATGGGTATATAAATGAGGCCCATGGCATTCCCTTGTCCAAACTGCTCCAGTCATTTCTGGTAAGTTTTGGGTTTTCTCACTGCCACCAGGAGGATCTCGTGTGTTTTTTCCTCAGCTCCCGAGTCCTTGTTAATAGGTTTTTCTGCCCCACAAAAATTGGTTTCTCTGCCAGTGCAGTAAACCAGATCAAGCCAAATATTAAAAGCGTAAGAACAGGTTTATTGCAGCAGTTGGAACAAAGCAACTCCTGAGCAAGTTCTCCAGTCCCAGAGACGGGACTAAACTGTTTAGGTTGTAGGTGAGGGGTGATGATGTGTCCTCTGCAAGCTGGGTTTGTGTCCAAATATGGCATCAAAAGCTGAGTGCTTTAGGACTTGGGCACCTGGCAACTTCAGCAGAGGATGCTGAAATAGAGTGTGGAACTGGGATATTTGGTGCCTTTCCTTTGTTCAGACTCTCTGAGTGAGTGGGGTTTGGGGAGAGAGATAGGAATGCGGCTTTCTGGACCATACAGGGGCAGGCTGGAGGTTCCAAGTGAATATCCTGACCTTTTTGGGTATATGAGCCCCGGTTCAAATCCGGCTGCTTCCTGTTGGCATGGGATAGTCTGAGGAGGGGAGTCCAGAGTCAGTGGGCTCAGTAGGAGGTATGGGTGAAGAAACAGTTAGTTGGTTAATAACCACCCTGGAGACCTCAGAAATCTTGGAGGAAGCAGAAAAGGCAAGGTGTTAGGAGAAAAATATTCAGATTATCGCCACCAGCCCTCCAAACGGGGCTAGCCGTGGGAAGAGTGAAGACTGGCAGGAAGAACGGAACAGAGGTGTGCCCTGGGAAGAGTGAAGACTGGCAGAAAGAACGGTACAGAGGTGTGCCGTGGGAAGAGTGAAGACTGGCAGGAAGAACGGTACAGAGGTGTGCCCTGGGAAGAGTGAAGACTGGCAGGAAGAATGGAACAGAGGTGTGCCCTGGTTGTACTGGCCAAGCTCTTCAGCCAGTTTGTAGAGTGGCTCGATATGAGTTTCCACCAGGCCAGATTCCGTGATACAGTAGCAGCACTCTTTCCCCAGGAACATGCATGTGTGTCTGTAAAACAGCTAGAACAGATTCACACCTCAGTGGAATTGCAAAGGCTATGGCTTTGGGTTAAAAAGGCATGAACACTTTTCCTGTGTCTAGAGAGCGTGATTTTAGCCAGATGAAATGCACCTTTAAGTCTATAATTAGAAAACAACCAAAGGAAATTTAAAAACTTGAGCTTGTGACTGAATAGTAAGTAGTCAATGCTCTATCAGTTTATCAGAACTCCATTTATCAATGCTGAAACTCTGAACCTCTGAAATCCCAGTGGGACAATAGCACAGCAAAGGGACAGAAGTCTGAAATGTCTTCACATACCTTAAATAATTTAGTTATAGCTTTACAACTTGCATTTATACATATTAAACCATTTTCTGTGTTTTTTTAGTGGAAAGTTACACCTAAACCTGTTTATTCTTTACTATGAAGCCTATGAAAAAGGCAAACCTGTCTGTACTTTTAACAAGAGACTTAACTAATGAACTAATAAATTATGAACACGGTTATAGCCTTGGAGAGGGGGAGCTTTTAAACTGACGAAGCTATCACTAGCCTAATCATCAAACACCATCAGATCTGAGAAGGATAAATTTCACCTGAGTAAGCACAAGGGAAAACCAAACATCTTCTGAATCTATTAAAAATGACAGGGACTTACTGTCTTCCTCGACAGCTACCCCAGGTCCTTCATGGTCACTAGGGACAGAGGTCCCAGGGAAGCATCAGTCTTCAGCTGTCAGGCCCAGAAGATCTGACAGTTTTCTGTGGAGTAGGTGTAAGGGTATAGGGAGGCACAGGTGGCTGGCGCTTGTTGCCACGTGGAAAGGTCACAGTCACAACAGAACCCAGTGACACCTTTTAGAGCTTTATTAGGAGAAGGAGAGAGAGAGACAGAGACAAAGAGAAACAGAGAAAGACAGAGACAGATCGCACAGAGAGAGAGACGCAGAGAGAGACAGAGCGCACAGAGTGTGCAGAGAGAGAGTACAGAGAGAGCACGTGGGAGTGCACGTTTGGCTTTTAGGCTGGGACACAGTCACCTGCTGATGACATAATAAGGTGCCAGATGAGACTCCTGAGCAGCTGAGCTGCTGTGTATACAGAATTCTTACAGTAGGAATTTGGGGGGGGGCCAGCCTGCCTTGTCTAGGCAAAGCAGGGCAATCAACTCCCTAGTGTCCTGCTTGTCTACAGTCTGGTCAGTGTCCTGGCAGCAGTTGAGATGAGTGGCCAGCTTTGCCACATTTAAAACAAGCTCCAGGTTCTTCTGTGCCCACCATCTTCTTTGGAGGAGGTAGGGGTACCTCCAGGAGCCAGCACATCTCTATATAATGAAAATCTTTTTTATTAAACATTTTAAATGCTGTATTCTCAGATCTCAGAAGCATTTGAGGACTGTTATCTGTTAAGTAAATCTAAAGAAGACAAGTGTTGCTTGTTCCTAGCTACTTGTTTTAGGCTTAACTTTGAAAACATATATAAGAAGCTAAATTTGAACTTATCAAAGAATTTGATCATTCAAAAGGTGACTGACTATTAACTTGTATGTCTTATAAGATTAGGATTTTATAACTTGTTTGTCTTATAAGATTAGGATTTTATGGCTTTATTCCTGTTAAGTTTTGCCTTAAAAAGTAACAATTTCTGAATTGAAACACTTTTAATATCAAGATAAGACTTTTAACCCATAAACACAGTCCAAAAAGAGACTGGGGAATTTCCTTACTCTTTTATAGTATACTATTATTGAACACAACAGTTTTCTGTATGACTTAGTTTACCAAACTAGCTACTGCTTAACAATGTTAATCAAAGCAAGAAGGTTAGAAATACATTCCTAAACCAGTCTCTGTTAGCCTGACTAGACCTCAGGGAAAGAAAGACCCTTTGCCAGACTGCTTGGTCACTGTATTGCTGCATCATAAGATAGGAATACCTCAGTCTCTGGTGTTTACCTGTGGTCTTAAGTCTTATCTTTTTATTTCTCTATTTGTTAAGATCATATATTAATGAAGGCGTTATAATAAAATACCTTATAAATTTTAAAATGTCCCAGAGCCTTATAAATTTGCAATTTTAAGCATTTTAAAACTATTTCTTAAAAATATCTAATTTATTTCAACTTTATAAAACTCTAAAATTTTCTTTTAAAGAAGTTTAAGGTCTCCCAACTGTGTATTCTGGTAATATCCAACTAAAGTATCTTTTTTATTTCAAGAATGAAGACATAGAGTAAAGCCATAATTTACAGAAGGCAAAACCAAGTTTCAACAGTGTAAACAATTCAGTGTCTATAAAATCAATACCAAGTGGATTACTCTTATGTTACAAAGTCTGGCTGCCAGTAAGAAAGGTCCCTGTACATGAACACATGGAGGTGCAGCTTTAAGACCTCACTAAACCAGCATTGTTTTAAATCCTATCTTTCATAAACATTTTTTTTTTCAAGACAGGACAGGAATTATCACACAAAAATCCTTCCTAATCCCAAATATCTTGGAGACCTGTTGTTGCCTCCTTGGTAGGTCCAATCCATGTGGTCACCTTTAATCAAGATGGCAGTGAAGTCACATGAAATCCCTCTTCTCCAACCCTATCAAAGATGGCTGACAGCCATGTGGCTGCCCAAAGATGATGGTGAAGTCACATGACATTCTGCTCCCCCAACCCTTGTCAAAAGGGCAACTGCCCACATAGCTGCACTTAAGACAGTGATAAACCACGTGTTATTCCCGGGACAGCTCCAACTCAGAGCTGCAAGTTAACTTTTGCTATAGATTTTTAATCACACCTAATTCCCTTAGCTGTTTTTTTAGTAAAGTAGGACAGCATAAAACAACTTTAATATTATTTATACCCAAATGACATATG